CCCCAAAACCCCAAAACCCCAAAACCCCAAAACCCCAAAACCCCATAAGAGAAAATATCTAAAATTAATGACTTAGCAAACCTTAAGTGAATATGCAAATATAAAATATCTATATTAAATGGAAGTTTCTAAAGTATTCACAAAAGTCCAAACTCTCAACAATGGCCTAACTATTCCTCAAGTTGGTTTTGGTTGCTACCAAGTTAAGGAAAGTGATCCATTTTATTGGGCTGTTAAATATGGCTATAGACATCTGGACAGTGCTGCTTTCTACTAGAATGAAGCCTAAGTTGGAAATGAAGCAAGAAGAGCTATGTCAGAATTTGGGTTAAAAAGAGAAGATATATTTATTACCAGCAAAATATTCAATGATCATATGGGCTATGAGCTCACCAAGAAACAAGTTGAAGTATCCTTGAAGAATTTTGACCTTGGATATATTGACATGATGTTAATTCATTTCCCAGGAACTGCAGGACTTCCTAAGGATGACCCAATGCACCTATAGAATAGGAAAGAATCTTGGAAAGCTCTAGAAGAGTATGTTGATTCTGGCCTAATCAAATCTATCGGAGTTTCAAACTATAGACCCCATCATATTGAAGAATTAGTTGAATACGCAAGAATTAAGCCAGTAGTTAATCAATTCGAACTTCATCCTCTCTATGTAGAATATGATACAATTGAAACTTGCAGAAAGCATAATATTTTGGTGTAATCATATTCTCCATTTGCTCAGTTCAAACCAACCATTACTGAAAATGAAGTCCTTAAGGGTATTTCTGTTAAATATAACTTAGATATTGCTAGAGTTATTCTTTTATGGCATATTGCGAATGGATTTAACGTTCTTCCCAAGAGTGCAACTGAAGAGAGAATAAAGAGCAACATTGAGTTAGAGGGACTAGCTTTGTCTGAGGAAGACCTTGCTCAAATCAATGAATTAGGCTAGAACAACAGGTTTAAAGTATGTTGGGATCCAAAAGATTACGCCTGATCTAATAAATTGTTTTTCAATTACTAATTAATCGATATTTATTTGAGGCAAGGGGTTTTGGGGTTTTGGGGTTTTGGGGTTTTGGGG